CGCCACTGAATGGTCTCTTAAAAAGTTTTTGTTGCTATCAATTATCTAAACCCGCTTTTCAATTAAAATTTTTATTAATTGATCCCATTTAACCTCTATTAAGGATAATTTCACCTCTTTGATATATTTATTATTTGACAACTAATTAATTCATAAAAAAATTAAAAATGACTAAAAGTATGAGTCCGTGTGGTCCATTATAACAAAGAAATCATTTAAAGATAATTTATGAATAAATTGATAGTCAAATGTAGTTTCCACAGAATGATCCTACTTTAATAAAGGTGGTTTTTAAGAATAAAGTATTATAAGATCATCTATATTAACTTAAATTCAAATTTAGTAACCAATACATTAATAAATTAGATCCAAATGTAGCTTACTTCTACATCAAATGGTGCAACATATACATCAATATATCTACTCTTCTATATTGGGTAAATATCCATATTGGTATTTTAATTCCACCTCATTTACCAAGAAGGTATTTTAATTAGGTAAACCTGCTTTAGGGCATTTTAATTGATTCAACTTACCAACAAGGCCATTTTTCGTCGGTGACCAGTTTTCCGGTGAGAGCTCGTCACATGCGTGGCACGTGATGAATTAAACTGTTTTTTAGCTGCTGATGTGGCACGGATTTTCTGACATGGATAAAACAATTGGGAGAATAAAAGAGGGGATTCAAGCTGAGATTGGATGAGACTGAAAACTAGGGTTTATCAAATTAGGGCATTCAAGCTGAGATTGAGCGTGGAAGAGAAGATATTATATCGTCGCCATCAAGTTCAAGCTCTCATTCTAAAGCAAGCAGGGTCAGTGGAAAATTGGGATCGCATGTAAGTTCAAGCTCTCGTCCTCCGAAATTCACCTTCTGCATCAACTGAGGAACACCATCACATGGAATCCCTGCAATCTATCTCCTTCAACTGCCTCCTCCACGATTTCTCACTCTTTATTTCTCCCTCTCTCTAGCGTTCAAATTCTGAAAAATAAAAGGGGCGAATTTGTCCTATTTTTGGTGAATTAGGATTTTAGAGGGTTAATTCCCACTTTTAAATACCGCCACGTTAAAAAATCTGTGCCACATCAGCAGCTAAAAATAGTTTAAGTCATCATGTCTCACGCACATGACGAGCTCTCGCCGGAAAACTGGTTGCCGACGAGAAAAATGGCATTGTTGGTAAGTTGAATCAATTAAAATACCTTAAAGCAGGTTTGCCTAATTAAAATATATTTTTGGTAAATTAGGTGGAATTAAAATACCAATATGAGTATTTAGCCCTTCTATATTTAAAGGAGAACGAAAAAATCACTGTTCACGCTACAATAAATGATGCAGTGAATTATTATATCATAAAAGTGATACAATAAAAAAAACTGTAGCATAACATAAAATTTTTTACTACAATATTAACATTTGGATCCTTTTTTAAATATAAATATAATTTCTAAATCAAATGCATTAAAACTTAGATTCTTTTTTTAAGTATAAAGGAGCAAATATGAATTCTACATCAAATGCATTAAAACTTGCATCCTTGTTTAAGTATAGAGGAGTAGATGTAATTTGTAAATGTAATTTCTAATTTTAAGCATATAATAATCAAATCAAATGTATTAAAACTTAGAGAGAAACAATTTCAAAATGTAGTGCTTAAAAAAACATGGGACCGTGCTTTGCACTGGGTGGACACTAGTAGTAACTAAAACACTAACCAGGCTTCACAATAAATTGATATAGTTATCTTGTGTTTAAAAATGCGTTCAGAAGGGGACGGCTTTAAAAATAAATCAGAGTAGTATTTGGGTTTAGAAAAGAAACCACATTAAGTATTCTGCCCTGCAATTTTTTATGGCCACAAGACGTGTAGATTATGTTATCAATGAATTTCTGTTGTTTTCTTTGCTTATTAATGTTGGGCTTGACTTTTGGGGAAGGGGTAGGAATTTGGAAGGGAGGAGGAAACTCTCGCTGCAGTGAAGCTTGAATTGACCAAGTCGTTCTGCACCATTAATTTTAGAAATACCCCTCAACTTTAGGGGATGTCCCAAAAAAATACCTCCCCACTATATTAATTTGAGAAAACTCATCCGGTCATCTCGACTTTGGCTTGTTGTAGATAACCCATTCAATTTTAGAAATTCAAGAAAGCTCAGACTTTTCTCGCTTAATATCCAAAAAAACCTATTACGTCTAACATGTCATCACGTGATAAATATGTGACTTGAAAAAGACCAACATAATTCTTAATCATAAAAATCACTCTCATATTTCATAGGACTAGTTTTTACACACGTGCAATGCACGTGATTTAATACCATGATGAAGTATTTTTGACAGTTTGTGCTCATTTTTTTCTTTAAACTCTTACATCTCAATTATTTTTTTATGTTTGTTTAAATGGGATACACCCAATTTAAATTTTCATGTTGATATTTGAATTGACAAAAAACAAATATAATTTAAAAATAATTTAAATCTTCATATTATTTTTGACCGATATGAAACTAAGCTTTATTTGAGAAAGTATAGCATTTCAAAGTAAAAAATATTAAAATAGTGTTATACAAAGAAGGTGAATATTTAAAACCAATATGGCAAAATGATTGATTTAAAGTATGTTAAAACGATGCAAAAGAGAATATGAAGTTTATTCCTAATCATTGATAGACTTCATAAAAAAATATAAATTAAAGATTAATGCTAACTCTAGTATATTTTTATATGATAAAAACATCCACATAAGAATATAAAAGTACTGAAAAAAATTTATGAAACTCTCTTCTAAAGATTCCTAATTTCACTCAAAATAATTAAACTATTCTATAAAATATTCGGAAAATATTGTTTTTTATTTCTTCTATTTTATTTTTTATTGAGTTAAGATCAATCCTTCTTCAGGTTTATCATTTATCATTTCTCGGGTAATTCTAGAGTATTGTCTTCATCATCTACATTAATTATGACATCAGGCCAATTTTGTATTTTTTATGCTATTATCTTTCCTGGGTTCGTTAATTTTTTATCATCTCATTTAACTTTACAAAGAAGTCAAATGTACTTATGATGTTCAACACAAACTGCTCAAAATATAGACTTTGATTTTTTTTTTCTATTTCAATGGGGCTTCAAACCATAAAGAGACTTCTTCAGCTTACAAACCAAATTTTCCTTTCCTGCAGCTTTGAAACCCTGTGGTTGTGTCATGTAGATCTCCTCATCTAAATCACCGTGTAGAAAGGCTGTCTTCACATCCATCTGGACCAAATCCAAATCCAACTGTGCCACCAACGCCAATAAAATCCGAATCGACGAATGCTTCACAACGGGTGAAAATACCTCGTTGTAATCAATGCCCTCAAGCTGTGCATATCCCTTGGCAACTAATCTGGCTTTGAACCGAATGTCCCCAATAGAAGATCCCTCCTTCTTCGCATATACCCACTTGCAACCAATAGCTTTCTTACCCTTAGGTAGATGTGCAAGTGTCCAAGTGTCGTTCTTCTGAAGAGACCGCATCTCCTCCTCCATAGCTTCCCTCCACCTGATCGAATCGGGGCTAGACTCTGCCTCCCTGAATGTGGCTGGAACCATATCATCAACGACCTCCACTGATAATGCATATGCAACCATGACATCATTATACCTAGCTGGCCGACGAATCTCTCTCCTCGGTCTATCTGCTGCAATGGTCCTCTGAACATGACCCTGTTCCTGAGTCCCATGATCTACTGTATCCTGTATCTGCCCATTTGTCATCTCATCTCCTCCCAGTGCCACCTCTGTAGGAGCCTCAATGGATACAATGTTCTCTGGAGTGGGTGGAGTCACATCATCCTCCACCTGCTGTGATATCTCTCCTGTCTGGTCTCCCTCCACCTGCTGAGGGGGTCGAGGCCTCATCATGTACGCCTCGTCAAATGTGACATCTCTGCTAATAACTATCTTCTTGTCCTGTGGATCCCATAACTTGAAGCCTTTGACTCCATCCCTAAATCCCACAAAGACTGCTTTCCTCGCTCTCGGATTTAATTTACCATCACTGACATGATAATAAGCTGGACACCCGAATATCCGAAGCGACTCATAGTCACTAGCCACCGAACCAAACCAACGCTCCAAAGGAGTCTTCCCGTCTATCGCAGTGCACGGCAACCTGTTCACAAGATGGCTCGCATAAACCAACGCCTCGGCCCAAAAAGATCTAGGCAATCCACTCTGCGTCATCATACACCGCACCTTCTCCAGCAAGGTACGGTTCAATCTCTCAGCCACCCCGTTCTGTTGCGGTGTCTCTCGAACTGTGAAGTGTCTTCTAATGCCGTGATCCCGGCAAAACTGCAGAAACGGATCACTCTTGTACTCTCCACCGTTATCTGAACGTAGAGTCTTCACCTTTCTACCTGTCTGCAGCTCCACTTTCTTTTTTTTTTTTCTATTTCAATGAGAATAAATATTAATTTTATATATATAAAATTCTTTGTGTTCCTAATTTATTACTTAAATAAATTAGAAGCTATCTCTTTA